CGCGTCTGCAGGGGACATGCCACAAGATTCTTCCTTCCATGTGACCACCCCAGCTCCTGCATCTTCTTTTAGGGGTTTTTTCCTTCTTTCATACATAGAATGTGACCATAGATAAACAGCAACAAACAAAAACGACTTTCATCATGAATACGAAGAGGAAACATATTTCAAATATGTAATTTTACACGAATGCTACAGCTTGCATGGAATCGATGTGTTAATATTTCCCTCTACTTTCTTCTTTTTCTTATTCTGTTCAGTGTAGTCCTATCCATAATGGATTATATGAAGTGTTCATCCTCTCTGTATATTTAAATATCTGTCAGTGTTTTAAAATGAGATACACGTATAAACAGTGCATGCCATAGTGAGACTGGCGTTGTTCAGATTCCTATAAATAATTAAAATCCCTTCCATTCCTATAACACACTACCCGAGCCGTGCGTATAGCGTTTGAACGATTTATTATAAACGTGACCCAAACACAACAAGTATTATCAATAGTTATTATTTATGTAAAACATGAGGAGACACATAACATATCAATGTCTTGATGCATATTGCCGCTGTGTATTTTCCAGAACCTTCTTCTTATGAAAATAAATGAATATGTCCACGTCGGCACTGTTTTCATCTCAAACTTCATTCTCTCCATATGGGGCAACCAATCTCATGTACTCCCCCATGGGTTACGGAGTATTGTTGGCGAAATGTTATGTAAAAAGGATAATATTTAACGTCTAAAGGGCGGATTTTTGTATCCTTTCCCAATGAATCCATGCGATTCCTGTGGTAAGGCGAATGCAATCGTATTGTCCAACTGTCTAAGACACATTCTTTCTGTCACCCTTGCCTCGTGATAGAATTATCGTATGTTAACAGCAACCTCCACGTCTGCCAGAAGGAATTTGTAATGGTTTCTCTATCCTTGTCTATTCTACTGCTGAGAGCTGAAATGGCGCTATTGACAGTTGCCCTGTATAGACACATTTAGATCTTCCCATATCTGCCCGCGCACTTCTTCTTTGCAAAGTATGTCGCAGAGTCATCTGAATGTCAAGAAGAAGGGACAGGAAAAAAACAAAACAAAAAAATGCCGTTTCCTATTTGTACAAATCAGTCGGCACACATAAATAGCATCACAAAGAGAAATGTTCAGCCCTTCCATATGATCACAAGAACCCCTCTGCAACCCTAATCTGTTTTACACAATCCCCACCTAATTGGAATCCTCTGGGCTGTTCAAAATTGTGGCGGCCACATATTCTATCCACATTCACTATGCTGAAATTCAATTCTCCTTAAATATACGTTCCCTCACAATGCTACAGCTTACACGTTATACAATACCACAATCCGTGTACTAGGGACCGTCCACTATCCAAGTATTTTCGGCACGCATCAGAAGAATGTAAATTGTCAGCTAGACATTCGAATATAATACAGGTTACATGAGACTATTTAGGACATAAACCAGATAATGCTAGCCCGGCCTCGGCAGGGTTGGGAATTTTATAATAGGACTCATCAGTCCTCTGCTCGTCCTTCAGAAGGTCCACAAAAATAGACTCATTTATTTAATGAACTAGGGAAGAATAATAAAAAATGACTCCCTCACAACATGCGGACACCATAGTGATGGACTCTTGCATATTACTCAGTATTGCGGAAAGACTATATTTGCATGTATTTTTGTTGTGCGATCTCTCTTTTGCGATGAACTCTTGTATCAGGTGTATATAGAGTAATCGTGACATATACATCGTAGTAAGCAAAATATCGAACACTGCAAAGCGCCTCTGTTTTTTTTGTTCTCTGGCATGTTTTATTTCGTGATGCCCTGTGTGAATTTCTAAAAACACTGAAATGGAGGGAACATTCTTTTTCGGAAACATGACATATTCGTACACTTCATTGATTCTACGGCTTCCTTTACTATTGTGCTGTCATGTTGTACGAAATATAAGAATTACGCAGTTACGCCTTTTTTAGCCTCAGCCTCATAAAATAATTCCTCGAAAATTATATATAAAAATTAATTTATATAACATATTATTCCCAATTGTGGTTCTACATATAATATCATAAAGACCAAAGGAGTATACTTTATGTGATTCACATCGTTGGAAACACCATGCCAGGAGGGTAGTTTTTCTTACTTCATAATATCTAAGGAGTGTATCAGATCCGCCCATAATTGACAGAGCCCCCATACGCTTCCAACGGGAACGCACGTTTCTTGAACGAAATTAAATCCCATAAGATATGCCTCCTATACGATTTAATGAGACGACATAGTATGTATTATACTTAATTTGTGTCAATTCTCTTTTTCCCTTTTCTACGCGTACGCCCGTTTCTGTGCATTATTAACAAGGCATAATTGCACGTGTGCTTACTCTTATAGCGAGCAAAAATAGTTTCCAGAAATGCTTGACGCAGTTCACCATCAACAATAAACGAAAACTAATTAATCAGAGGAAACTGAGCAGCCGAAGCAAAAAAAGAAGGAGAATTTATAAATATCCTCCTTTATTCGAAAGGCACAGGGTTAACCTAGGACTACGAGGGCGCTGTATATGCGGTATCTTCATTTCATTCCGCAACTGTGTGTGAATTAACGTTATATATTACACTCACTGATAAATCCATAAGTGATATCTGAAGCCCTTGGGTTCTACCACATGGCCTATCATGACATGGCACGTACTGTATAATAGTACAATTCCTTCTGCTATTCTTGTTCTTGGGAGATCCTCTTCAATTTCTATTTACTCCCTAATAGATAGGTAACGAAGAGGCTACGCTCCATTTCATGATGAAGGGACTGGCTGTAATCGGCAGGGTGGCGTCTTCCCCACACTTTATTAATATAACATGGATTTATAAACAATACCTATGTTCCTAATTCGACTGTTATCATTTTATTGAAAAAGCACGCTTTTTTCCAACTCTAGAGACGCAGCAAACTAAAGTGCGGATTTTTCTGAAAGAGTATTTCTCTGGCGTAGGACATATAATATGCATACCCACACCATTATTTGATGTACTTGTTCATGACATTTCCGTAGTGTCCGAATCTTTCCTTTCATAAGACAATATGTATTTATTACATGATCTTCCAGAATATGCACACCTCATCGCCGAATATATCAGGGATGACAATGTGATGTAAAACAAATATGTCAATGTTATATAGGCAGAATTATTAGTTCAGAATATTTACCTTTAACCGATTTTATGGACGTAGCATTGGACACGGGGAACTCCGTGCGAGATATATAAAACCAGATTTCCTACCCTCCTGAATAATAGTAAAAGACAATACCACCATAATAACTCATACATAGAATTTGTCTATTCAGATCATATCCTAGGTGAGTTCACAAACTACTTCATAAATGTTGTATCACAACTTTCACCCCCCAAGAAAACCCAAGAACATGTGTTATGTAAATATGTGGAATTCTTTGACCACTTATTTCACCATTACTACATGTTCTGGTTTTTTTAGGAATCCTCACTATTTATACGAAAGAATAAGGAAAGGTCTAATGAGAACCGTAGAACTGCTCTGCATACTGTGCGAACTGGCATGTGCACACGCCTTTCGCAGTATACTTCCTAATGAAAAGGATTCATCCTGTGACATTCATTAGGTTGGCACTGGGGAATACATTGCCTGCATATGCTAATTACTCTTATTTCGAATGAAAATCTTATACAAAGAACAACTATTGATACTTTTTCATCACAACCAAAGTCTATTACAGCTACTCCCTATGACAATACCTCTCAACGCCCAGGTTATTATTTGGAACTTCCGTGAGGTGCTGTCACTCTGAATGTGAGGACGTCACCCATGGAAAAATTGTCAGAGCACCGGTCAGGATTCCGAAATATTTAAGTGCACATCTGAAACGTGGTAGCTCCGTCAGGAACCAAATTTCGCAGCAGGTAGAAATGCAGAAATATCAACTTCTACTGCAGTTCTCAGTGTTGAAAGGTTGAAGAGAATTACAGCTGGTGTAAACACGGAAAATATAAATGTAAAATAAGTACAGATTGTGAAGGTGTACTTACGGTCCGAACTATTCAATTTCCTGATATTGTACGTGCAGATTGGAGGCCTCCTGCATCGGATCACCAAGCCGCGGATATTACCCAACGGGTATCGCCCCCCTCTTCCCTTTCCTAGTAGTTTCAGTCTATTTTATCCACCAGCCTCTCTGCCTTACCTATCAGTTTATGCAAATCTGTCACAACACACGACACATAAATCCTGCGCTGTGGGGAGTACATAATGTCCTTAAGTGCTACGGATGCTACCCCCTCTGTCCTTATGCTTACGACTCTTGGGACAGGGAACTGGCAATCCTAACGACACCCCACACGCGGGGTAGCCCCACAAACACTATATAATTATGCCATTGCCTTTATTGAGGTGTTATTTATTATCTTAACACTTGGGGGGCCCATTCCAGAGGTTAACCTTCCTTTTGGAAGTATAGATATATGTATATATATACACACGCAAAAAATATCATTTACTGCACTGTGGTCACTATTTAGAAGACGTCAAAGAAGCGAAACCAATTCCTCGTGCCGACTTTGTCCCCTAGAGAAATACAGGCACTTAGAATCGCAGTTTCCCCTGAAACACAGAAAGCGGAAAGCCAGAAGAAGGGTACACATACAGACAACAATGTTTAGCCATGACTGCCAAAAGAAGAAGGATATATGATATGATAATGACCACGTACCATTGCGCGACCTTGAATATAAGTAGTTAATATATAATTAAGACATCCCAGAGAGTGTATACATGCAAAATAAAAAACAAACGTTCCGTAGAAGATTCTATATATACATACAGAACTTTCAGATGAATCAAAAAAGAAGGATGCAAATTTACCAGGAAACATTTCCTCCAAGTCGTGGTGCAAACATTTATGATAAATGGAAGTGTGATAGGTGAAATTACCTGACGGAGCAACGTAATGGGGATAGATGCACACAACTGTGGTGATGTGTACAAACAAAAACATCAGTGGGATAGTTTGGAACATAAATACTCCTATATCTCTGATATGTTCAAAGAGAACAGTTAGTTCCACAATTTACAGAAAGGACGCAGAAGGGAAGAACAATGTGTTCAAGAAAATGTAATGTCCGAAAACAATAAATTTAACAGGGAACCACATACTCACTTGATACAAAGGCGTGGAGGTGTATGTGGCAATTAGGTTTAAAAAGAACACATACGTATGAGACACTACATTCGAGATAGTTCCTTTGACAAAGTTATCAAGCTCTACCAGAAGGAAATAGCCTACCATGTGATATATGAGACAACTGATAACCCGTCGGGCACAAGATGCCATAAAGGAAAACGGGAGGTGCATAACCACGAAGTGTGTGTACTTACAGATGAGGAACTACATACGGAAGTGTTGATAACGCTATCCATGATGCTTCTGTATGGATGAAAAGAGCAATAGGATTCACAACACGTGAAGTTGTACAGGAGCGGCCACATAGGAACCTGTTTGAACGAGGAAAAATCTGGAAACGTCCCCAAACCCAGCAGATACACACAGAATTTTTGTGGGGATGTTCTGAAGAAAAAAACCCCCTGAGTATAAAGCACAAGGATTTACATGCCTCCTATAAGAGGAGGCGAAGGAACAATAATAGGAGTGCTCACAACAGGCTGATAATGACGTACCTCGAGCAGAATAGCTTCAGAGGCAAAATATAACGCGCATACTTACATGTTATATTGCAATGGTGTTCATATGAATGCCCTAACGTGAGATGACCTGAGAGAAGTCTCATAATTACAGAGTACAGGGAGATGCGAACGACTCCTACCGGGAAAACCAAGGGGACACGTACTTCCAGAGACACGTACACGAAGTAAGTGAATTAGTTAACAAATTAGGAAGATAATTAACCCTATTGCTGGTCACAATTGGAATGCGAAACACATGTCAAAGGCAACTCACCAATTACAACTCATCCTTTGAGGAACATATCTGGAGGCCGCGAAATATTTCATCTACCATTATATGCTCCATTCATCTTGAATGTGGGGGTAGACAAATCTTCCGTAACCTCCAAAGTAGAGGAGATGCCCAAATGGAGAATGTTGATTTTGCTATATGTAATAATCCTGGAAGGATGCTCCTGAGAATATTCCATTTCTTTGTCCTCTTAAATACTCGTTATACATAACAGCCTAGACACATACGGAAGAAGTCGAAGAACATTAGTCTCCATCTGTTTTATTTACTGATAAACATGGCATATTGGATTCTGTATTCCTCTGCACCTACGAAATTAGGCCACACTGTTCTATGACACACACACAAACATGGAATTTATACGTACTGTTCACTCTCATCCGGATGCTTTCGTACGAAACAAGGCAGGACTCATTCAAGACACCGCAGTAGGAATCACACATTGATAAAATATCCTTAGAGATAAAATCATAAGTTGACAGTAGAAAAAGAAACAGAGCAAGCAGATATAAGTACCACAGCATTCTCGAAGGCCAGGATGTCCACTACTTACATATCAGATCTGTCTGCCGTAAAGTTGTAATTACAAAATCGCCTATCATTCATTTACCAACGTAAATAGAAGTTATGCAATTTTTTTGCCATATTTATTGCTCCAATGAGAGAACAATTAATGTATGTTTTACTGATAGAATTGAGGGCCTTTCTAGTAGGATGGAAAAAGGAGGAACTTTCTGCTTATATCTTTGCGAAAGGGGATCCATCAAATTTGACACAGAAGAGGAACATTTAGAAATATGGTGTTTCTGGAGCAGGTATGTTTGTGTCTCAATAGTGTTCATGATATAACCCATCATGTAAAATACCACCTTCCTTGTTGAGGTCCCTGTTTCATCTTACCAGCACATATATATATATATTATGGTAATCCTTGAATTATATGGAGATGTATCGAATTACAGGCTGATTCCCTCTTCTGATTCCCCTTATTCTTTGTGGGATATGTAATGGAGTAGTCGTATGTACGTGAAAACTCACATCTTCACCTTCCTGTTATAATCGTTTGAATGGTTATTCTGTTTAGTGAAGTGTCGCCTTCGTTCTTTTCCGATACCGAAGCTGTTATATTTTGATTTCGCTTCGCCATATTCTTTCCTTTCATATATTCGTCGCACAGTGACACATAGTGTATTAGACAGGTAAACAGGATTTCCTCATCCTTTATCACCAGAATCTCGTATATTCCGCCACGGAAAGATTCTTCAGCTGTTTATAGGTATATATATTATT